TATATATATATATATATTGTAGAGATTATAATATCAATTTCATCTTTCACTTTTTTCTTTTCTTGATGTGTGTTATAAAAAAAATTACCACTTAAAAGTTAAAATTTTAAGCATTTTTTTGTGTTATATAAAGGAACAAATTCAACTACATAGAATAAAATAAAGCAAGTCAATTAAAGAGAACGAACAGAAAAATAGAACAAATCAATGACACTATCATTTATATATCAGAGTTTCACAAAATAGGAGAATGAGATGAGAACAATATTACAATATTATATATGAGCAATGAACAATAGTGCAGTATTATTAGCAAAGAAAAAATGGAGAAGACAGGAGCATAGAAAAAAAAGATAAAAAACTCACTTAAAAAGTCACTTCAAACAATCCTTCGAAATCCGATGGGTTTGGATGGGATTGTTTTATGAATTTGGTATTTATAGATAACACTAGAAAGTCCTTCAAAATCCCTCTCACACAACAATCCTTTAAAATCCTTATATTTTTGAATACCAATGGATTGTTTTTAAGTTGTAAAAAATCTCAAATGAATACCAATGGATTTTAATGGACTCTTTAAAAAATCTTGAAAATCCTGATTGAATACCACTGGATTATTTTTAAGTGACATAAAATCCTGATTGAATACCAATGGATTTTTTTACTCAAAAAAAGTCTTTTAAAATCCTACGAAATCCTAAACCAATACACCCCCCTTAAATTAGTGTCTAAATTGATTCAATATATAATTGATTAAATTTTAAAAATATTGATTAATTTGTCCTATGATCTAATATAAATCCATTCTTAGATTTCAGAAACCTAAAAAAAGAAAAAAGCTAAAACAATAGATATATCATAAATTAAAGAACAAAATAAACTTTTAATCCTTTATGTTTGAGACTAACCCTTTTCCATGAAAGCTCAAAGCCTATGAATGCTTTCTCCGCTAATCAAATTCTAATTTGTCTCGTATGTCTATTTGTTATTAGCATTATAGAAAGGTTTGTATTAAGAATTTGATCTATCTCCAAGAGTTTTGTTGATAAATAAAATGATCGATCAACTTCTTATTTGTTTTCAAATATATATGATTTGTGTTATTTAAAAAGTTATCTTTAATTTTCCTAGATGTACCATTAATTTTAGCAATATCAACATCAAATCTTTAATTAAGAAAACTATTAAGAGTAATTGCCTCAACTTCGAAGGAAACAATTTCTTCAAGAGGGAATCAATTCCTTTTCTCATGGGAATGGATTCATTTTAAAAAGGAATTGATTCTTACGAAAAAAAAATGTTGTACTTATTGAGAATCAAATTTTTTTTTTTCCAAAGGTAGTGTCTTTGTTTTGTGGTGGAATCAATTCTTTTATGAGAATTGACATACTTTCAAAGAAAAAACTTGGCCAAAATTCTTAAGTTAATTTTAGCCTATTTGTTTGATTACTTACGTTTAAATTAAGTTAATTAACTAGTCTCAGTGATTCTAAATCTTATAATTCTAATTAATGCGCTGCCCACACATAAATTGTATAGTCTACAAAATAATGGATTCCAAATCACCCATGAATATTCTCCTGAAGTTCAAGTCCTCTTGAAAATGCAGTCTCTTTTTTCTTCATCAATCTTTCTTAATACTTGTTTTCATCAAAACTTCTATAAAGTATCGCATTTATATATGAAGGTCACGCTTGATTTTATGCATGCTGTATAAATAGGGTTACAAGTGACAATTCACCAAGTGTAATCTCGGATCTCTCCATATAATTCATCAAGTGTGATCTTTAATATGTTGATGAATAACTTATTTAATTTCTTAATTATGCTTACAAATGAAAAATGATTAAAGAGTTAAAAATAAAATTTGGACAAATTCAATGCATAAACAATTTTACAACCTCCATCAAAGTCAAAATAATCTAATAATAACTTGAAATTCAAGCTCCAGACCCGATTATAGTAAGAGTAATCATGCACTTACATTGATGCCAAGTTAGTGATAACACACTATTGATTAGGTTTGTTAATCTTCATGAATGTGATCGAGCATCCAAGGCCAGAATGGTGCTAAGGTTCATTGGCTTCATATACCTTGTTGAACCTGACATAATTTGTTCCACAACAAGTTTGTTTGCCTTTTCAGATGGATGAAAGGGATCCCAAAATACATGCAAGTTTCTGTTGGAGCATAGGTTGGAGAACGGAGAGCATAGCCCCATGCCATTGTAGGGTCCTTGCCCACAGCAAGCTACTTTTGATGTAGTAAATCCTACTCAATTGGACAAAATAAAATTTTAATTAAGATTTTTTTTTCTTAATAAAGGACCGCAATGAAGAAAATTATAATAAAATTAAATACTTATATAATAAGAGAAAATAAGTCATAAACTGACGGTATAAAACAATTTTACATTATTATCTAATAATAAATTATCATGTATAATAAACAGAATAATCATATTAAAAGTCAGAATAATGCTGATTTTTAATTTTATATTGATCATATTAAACTTATATAATAAAATTTAAAGTTAATTATAATATGAACTATTAATTTTTAAAAAATAATTAGTAATTATTATTATCTATTATTCTAATATATTTTCTTTCTACAATATTTATACTATTTTTCTTTATCTATGAACATAGTTCACATGATATATCAAAGTTGACAATAAAAAACTAATTTATATTTATAAGACATATTTTTTACTAAATAAACATTATTTTAACACTAACCATACTATTTTGCTTATTGAATACTATAAAATTATGAGAAAAAATTCCTTAAATTTATAAGAAGTAAAACCTACATAAAATTGTAATTTTCAATAAATTTTACCTAATAGTAGAGAGTGTTTTAGAGAGTACATTATTAACATTTCTCATATAAGTATAATATTGATTTTTTTTTTCACACCAATATTTATTTACACTCATTAAAAACATTTTTTTTTCTGGTATAAAAGAAAAACATTTTTTTTTCTATCTCCCTTCTCACTCTTTGTCAAGTAATTTAACACTTTCTAAGTATAGTGCAAGACAGAAATGATCATGTGAAGTAAAATTATTCAAATAAGAATTTATCTACTTAATGACTGCAATTGTGATACATTAATATAATTACTTAACATAAAAGATGGACAGTGAGTATATATTACCATAAGCTTGGGGATTCATGATGAAGTCATTGTGCATTTGCGCTGTATTTGCAGCAACGAAAACGTCACTGCCAATTTTGGTGTTGAGTTCAAGTATCATTTGCTCCAGTTGAGGATTGTACAATGTTGCTGCACGTTGTAGCTGTGCAGAACATTCTCCATTTTTGCCACGCCTAGCCAATTCTGCAGGGGCACAACCCAATGGTCCTGTCCCTGTCACAATAACTCTCCTCGCTCCAAGATTATATAGCTTCTGCATTGCATCATTACAATTCAAAGTGAAGGTAATCAATAAAAATATTTTGTTTTGTTTTCGATATGCTTTTTGTATCATGTAATAACCATGATATAATTAGTACGTGAGAAACTAATGTTCATCTATAAAATGAGTATTCATGGAACTTTGGACAAATTGGTGTGATATATAAATTTGATACATTAATTGGTGTGACAATATTATTTACAATAATATACAGATTAATTTAAATTTAGAAGAGAAAGTTAATTTAAAATACCTGCAAGTGTTTTCGGTAGCGAGAGATGAGAAAGTTGACGTAGTCTGGGAGTTGATATTGACGAGACCTAGCAGTGGACTCCACTAGGAAGTAGTTGTTTACGAAGTCGTTGCCACCTACGGTGATGAGAATCAACGCTTCATTCACCAGTCTTTTGGTTCGCGACACACCAATTAGTTGCCCCACTCGTCCTTGGTACTCTTTAAAATTCTCTATTTGTCTATGCATTTTAATTATGTTCATCTGCAAAACTTGCATTAATAACCATTGCCAACTACTAATGTTCGCATGTCAATTTTTAAAAACATGACATGACCAGAGAAGAGATATAAATGTAAAATAAAATAAGTAATGTGTTTAAATTTTTTTATAAAATGATTACGTGACAAGAGACCATTAATAGAGGCCCAGGCCCATTAAGTATGATCAAGAATCGATACCCATATCTTGGGAGATCCAGTAATATTGTGACATGTCTTAGCGCCTCAATGCTTTTTGGGTCGTTATTGGGTTTTTGTAAGTACGTTCTTTCTAGGTTCAGCTATGAGCTATAAGACGTATCTGCAAAAGGTTAAATTGTTGAATGTTTTCCTTTTAAGTTGTTCTATGTATCTAGCTAGGACCCAAAAAGATGAATATTGACATTTTTAACAATTAGTAGCTAATATTTTGTCACGGGTTTTGCTTTATTAAAGTTAAAAATATGAATACAAAATGGTAATTACCATCAAAATTAATCATATTAACAATTAATTATTAGAAGGTAACGATACTCTAAAAAAACACAACCAGAAAACCTACCTTTCATTATCATAAAACATGCTTAAGGTTTTATACCTGCATGCATTATGTGAGACGAACGCTAACAGAACAAATTTTTAACATTTTTTTTTTATACTTTCTTTTTATGTTAAGTGAAATTCATGTGGATTCTACCATATATGTTAGTCTCTTTAATTAATTTATCTTTGTCGTAGGTTTTATTCCCTAACTTATAGAATCGTAGGAGTTTTAATTAATAAAAAAAGAGTGTAAACTTGTTTGAGTACAAGTTTAAAAATATTTTTTTAAAACTTTACTATTGAAAAATATATTTTTTTTAATAAAGCAATTCTCTAAAGTCTTTCTAGTCAATCAGACTCTATATTAGAAAAAAGAATATTAAAAAATGTGTTATGAACACAATTTGTAAGAAAGAAAATAGTTGAAGTTGAGGGTCATTAATTAATTAACTTACAAACTGATCTCCTGTATCATTAAGGATTCCAACTCCAGCTGAAGCAAAGTTGGCACCAACAAAGAGATTCTCTCTCGTTAATTCTGGGCTCAAGTAGGGCATTGTAGACTCAGCACCAAGTTGCTGACCTGAAACAATCCAATTCGTTAAAGATAGTTAGATACATCAATTATAATATTGTCATGATATATAAAAATGAAGGTAAGGATATATAATTTTGAACTAACTAATGTTTAACGAATGAAAGTCACATTTTACGTGAATACATATTATTCTTTGTCAATTTCAAAACATTAATTGCGTATATATATGAACAAAGAAAATAACTTAACTGATAAAATCAGGAATGTTGAAGCCATTAGAGAAGCGTCCTGTTGGTGCATGAGTTGGGTAGTCAATTCCATAAGGAGGGACATTAGCACGGGCAATGGTTTGCAAATAGTTGTTGTTTCCATTATCAACAAGAGAATCTCCAAATACGAAGAATGGTCTTGGCCTGGCTTCACTTATAGGGACAATGACACCAACTACTAAAACTAATCCTAGAACAAGTATCATAGAAGGTGCCATTGAAAAGATCCCGTGGATATTGGACTTGCTTGGTTGAAAGGGTTTCTTTACCAAGGTACCACTCACATATTCTATGACCCTTTCCAATGTTGTATTATATAGGATGATTGCATGAGGCCAGGGCTTCCAATTTTTGGTGCTCTTTTATTGAAGGTTTTAAGTTTTAGCGCTAAAAAGTGTGGCAACCTTACGAGCATAAATGAGATGGGTTGGTCGCATGGAGACGCAACTCATGCAAGTACAATTGATAACGTACACTTTCTTAGTCAGTGCATGCTTTAATTTTTGTTAAAAATTTGGGATGAGTTATTGAATGGATATGTCTTGCTACATTGACCAGTCTAATTATTTTATGTAGCGTTGGACCTTTAATTATCACGCTAAGCATTGGATATTTCGAATTGCACGATAACAAGATACTTGATCACACAATTATTATAAATTTCATGTAAGATAAAAACTATATTTACTTATATATATATATATAGAGAGAGATGATACCATTTATTTCAATAGTAAATTTACCTATACTTACTCCGTTCAATAACTCATGGTTTATATCAAGTTTTAACAATCTAATCGTTGAATTAAAAAATTTTAATGCATAGATCAAATTTACAAATTTTAAAAAAATTTGAAAATTATTTGATACTACGTTTCATTAATTCAAATCAATGTATAAAATAATTTTATGATTATCCGTCAATTTGAATTAATAAAATGAAGTCTAAAATAATTTTCAATTTTTTTTAAAAATTACAAACTTAATCTATGCATTAAAAACTTTAAATTCAACAATTAGATCGTTGAAAATTTATATAGAACATGAGTTATTGAACGAAATAAGTTTATGTAGACTTACTCTTGGAGTAAACAGATCCCTCCTCACACACATATATATATATATATATAATTTAGGTCATTATAAAAAAATATTTCTTAATTTGAACAACCGATAATGCTGTTTCTTAATTTGAACAACCGATAATGCTGTTTGATAATAGTTTTGTTTGATGAAGATTTTGAAAATCTTTTCAAACAAGTGTTTATTTCACTGTAAATCTAATAATGAATATTGCCTTCATTTGTATTTATAAAATTTAATTTAGATCAATTATTTATTCTTTTATATGGTGTCTAATTTATATTGGCTTATAAATTAATTATTTTTAGATTAAAATATTTTTAATTAATGTATATTTTTATAATTTGGTAAAATATATTAATTATGAATTTTTTAAAGAACGTATATTCTAATTAGTTAGGAGAAATATAAATAATTAATTGAGAGAGATAAATAATATAAAATATGTACTTTAATTGATTAATTAGAAGATATATAAGTATTAATTAAGAAATATAAATTATATAAGGGTAATTTTAGAAAATTATAAATAAAATAAATTCGTTGTTATTAATTAAATTAATTATTTTCTTAATTTTAATAAAATAAATAATTGAATCTTATATATAAAAGTGAAGATAATAACATTTAAACTATGTTTTCAGTGATAATTTTGTTTCATGAAAATTTTGAAAATCTTGTCAAAGGAGCATTTATTAATTTTAATAAAAAAATTAACATTTGAGCTAAATCTATCCCCACTCTATAAATTTGTCCATCCCTCTTTTTTCTTTTTTTTTTGACCTTTTTCCCCTTCTGCTATTAAAATTCTGCCAATGTTGGAAATATAATAAACAGTATTAATATCATCTCTCCCTTCTTTACTTGCTAAACATGACAAAAGGAAAACAAACTAAAATGGCCATTGACCAGAATTTATTCACCTCCTATGCATTTTAATTATGTTCATCTGCTAAAGTTGCATTAATGAACATTGTCAACTACAAATGTTTGCATGTTAATTTTGAAACTTTTGTATAACGCTTTTTTGTCATTAAGAGAATGATGGGAAGAGAGCAGAAATAAAAATAAAATAAATAATGTGATAAAAAATTGAAAACCGATGCTATGAAGGTTACGTGTAAGCAATATACATAACTTTTAATTTGCTTTTTGGCAGATGATATATACACTTTTTCTTTTTTTTCTTTTTTTTCTTAGCTTTTTTTCCCCAACTTCTATTGAAGTTTTCTTTTACAACTATGTATGTTATATTTTGTGGGAGGTTGATGATATATACACCTCCTTTTTTCTATAAGTACATCTCCTTTTGAAAAATAATTAAAATTTTAAAATATTTTTTTTATTTATACCTACAATATTTTATTTAGTACTTTTTTCACACATTTTTTTTTGTTTTTTTTTCTTCAATTTTTACATGTACCCCCTTACCTTTCTTTCACCTCACCTATTTTGTCAATATGTGAAAATTGAAAGAGAACAAAAAGTTTATGAAAAAAGAAATTAGCAAATTAAAAATTGAAGGTGTAAAATTAGAAAAATTAAAAAAAAAATTACAATATTTTATAATTTTTTTAAAAAAATAAAGGAGGTGTACTTGTAAAAAAATGGAGGTATATATGTCATGAGCCTTTGTGGGAAGGAGAACAATAAAGGCCCATTAAGTATGATCCAGAATCCATGGCCAGATCTTAGAAGATCCAATGATATGTCTCAGCGCCTTTTTGGGCCGTTTGCACAGTTATGACTACTTTGATTTATCCACAATTCACCATAAATTAATTAGTTGAAATAAGATTTTGTTTATGTATAATTTTAATAATTAGTTATATGTATAATCAATTATAATTAAAATAATATTTTTTGGAATAAATTTGTTGAAAAATAATTTTGGGACATCCAATTTTATTTGAAACAATAAAAAAAAATTATGTAGTAAATTAATTTTAAAAAATTGTTAAAAATAATAATAAATTTCAAATTTTCAAATATATAATGAAATTTTTTTTTTAAATTGTTTACAAATTTCAGTTATTATTTCAAAATATTTTCTTTTTGCAAACAATTTTTTTCTTTCTTTCAAAATACAGTTGAAATAGTGCATTGCCATTGTGCCAAAAGGAAAACATATATAGTTAAGTAAGTTAATTACAAAATTATTAATAAAGTTTAATATAATTGATAAAAGGACAAACTCGGTTGCCCCTTCAACAGATAACACGCATGCTAATCCTCACATGAAGGAAAATGGGAATGAAAAATATTTGTTATAAAAGTTAAGTTATTTTTTTATATAATATTTTTTGTATAATACTATTTTTTTTTCTTCTCATTTTTATCCTTGACATCAATCATCCTATTTTACAATTTCTCTTTTCTGTAATTCTGTACAAATACAATATCTCTTATTTGACTTTTTGTTGCATGTCTCTCTAAGAGCCAAAACAAACTAAATGAATATTGATGTTTTTAGCAATTAATATAGCTTATATTTTTTTCACGAGTTTTGCTTAATTAAAATATAAATACAAATCGGTAATTTCGGGATATATCATGCTAAAGATTAGATATATTAAATTGTAGGATTTACAACAGGTGATACTACAATTAGTGCAAAATTGAATTATAATATGACTTTTTTACTCATAAGCTAAAAAATAAAAAAGACAAAATAAAAGTAAGGTAAAGTCTATTCCACTTTTAAAGAAATATATATATATATATATATATATATATATACTTATAATTAATAGAAAATATTTTTTAATTTGATTAAACAGTAATTTTTTGGGGTATTCTCTACTACTATCTAATTATATATAGATATATGTATTTAATTGACAAGTAATTTAATATGTCATTTAATATTAAGAATTTGTTAATATTGTAATTAAACCTTTACAAACTATGAATTACTCTTTTAATTTTATCTTTATTTTTATTTATTCAAATACTATTTTTTGTTTTTGAATCTGTACAAAAATTAATTTTTTTTCACAACTATTTTTAAATATACACACACACACACATATATATATATATATATATATATGAATATAGATACTATTTAAAATATATATATTTTTAGAATTTTTTTATTATATTTATTTTCTAATATTATATAAAATAAATGAAAACAAATACCCTTTTCAAAAAATAATTATTAGATGTATTTGGGATTCACATGAAATGGTGTCTCTCAATGTGTGTTTAAAACTTGATTTTCTGCATTAACATTTGAAACTGTTAAGATATAAAAAAAGTGTATAGATATTAGAGAGAGAGAGTTTATAACATAGTTCAATCAAACAAGATATAAAATTTGTTTTTATAAATATACCTCTCATAGTCATGGGCGAATATCAAAACCTAATTCTAAAAAAGTGTATAGATGAGTAGCAAACGCAACTGGAAACACAGGTGACAGTTTTGGAAACCGTTTAGACTACTTCTCTTTTGAAAGCATAATAATTGAGAAAACGCGTTGTAGCAAGACTTCACTTGGGATGGAACATGTCAATTTTTTTAAGAGATGTTGTCCTGTTAATAAACATGTGGTTCATAAAGATAACCCAAAAATGACGATTAATGCTGTCCTCTCATGACTTGAGTGACAAAAATTTCTAAGAATTTCCATGATGGAACATGTTAGTCTATGCAAAGAGACAAGGATGAAATGGTTGCATTCATTTCTTCAAAGTTGACTCTAAGTCAAGCAATACCGTCAATGGGAGCAAAGCAATGTGTAATTTCATGTTTATGGCTGTGAGAATAAAAGCAATGTGTAATTTCTGTTAAATCTCAGCAATTCATAACCAAGTTTAGATATTTTGGTCTGCAAGGGATGCAGCATTTTGTTTCAGAATTTTATGGAACCAACTTTGTTGTTATTTATGGTATGCTTATTATGGGAATTGTGTTGGAGTTACTAGCCGCAGCTGCACCATCGCTGTCTCCATCAGAAGCAAAAGCCATACTCAATAGTGGATGGTGGAATCAATCGGAGATAAATGCATACTCTATTTGTTCCCAGATGGATGGTATAGTTTGCAATGAAGCTGGAAGCATAACTAGAATCAGAAATCCGGATTTTAAAGAAGGGAGTAATTTAGCAACACTAAACCTTTCTGCTTTCGAGAATTTAGAATGGCTAGAGGTATCGAACCGTGGACTACATGGAATTATCCCACCTGAAATTGGTAATCTATCAAAACTCACTCATCTAATCTTGTCCAGTAATTCTCTTCACGGGGAGATACCTCCTTCATTGGGAAATCTTTCCCAATTAGAGATCCTAAGCATCTCTAACAACAACATTCAAGGCTTCATTCCTCCTGAATTAGTGTCCTTGAAAAATCTCACTGTCCTTGATCTTTCTTTCAACAGAATCAATGGGACCTTGCCCATTTCACTTTCAAATCTCACAAAATTACAATCTCTTGACATTTCTAACAATCTACTTGTTGGTTCCCTACAATCCTTGTTGGTGGGAAGCCAAACGCAACTAACCACTACGAACTTCAGTCACATCCTTATTCATCTCGACCTGTCCAACAATTTTTTTCATGGGGGGATACCTCCTTCACTGGGAAGTCTTACCCAATTAGAGACCCTAATCATCTCTGGAAACAACCTTCAAGGTTCCATTGCCCCTGGGATCTTTCCCATTTCACTTTCAAAACTCACAAAATTAAAATCTCTTTACCTTTCCAACAATCAACTCATTGGTTCCCTACAACCCTTGTTAGTTGGAAGGCATGCACAACTAAGTTCTGTTGACCTCAGTCACAACCTCATTAGTGGGGAAATACCACCAAAGCTTGCATGTAATATGCCATCCTTAAAATATCTGGATCTAAGCTACAATAATCTTATTGGAACGGTTCCTCCAACTCTGCAAAGTGTCTCTTATGTGGACCTTTCCTTCAATAATTTGACGGGTCCCATTCCACAAGGTTTTACTGAGTTTCAGCTAATAGGGAACAAAGATGTATGTAGCAACAATCCGTATTACCAAACCAATTACCAATTCCAGCCTTGTGCAGCCCGTAACAACAAAGTAATTCACAAATGGGTCATAGTTTTTCCTATCCTCATTTTTCTAATCATAGCCTTACTACTTCTGTATCGGAGGTTTATTCGCAGCACAATAAAGATATCATCGATGGCTCAGAATGGGGATTTGTTCTGTATTTGGAACTATGACGGTAGAATAGCCTATCAAGACATCATAACAGCAACCGAAGATTTTGACATGAAATATTGTATTGGAACAGGAGCTTATGGGAGTGTTTACAAGGCACAATTACCAAGTGGCAAGGTTGTTGCCTTGAAAAAACTCCATAGTTTTGAAGCAGAGGTGTTGGCTTTTGAAGAGAGTTTTAAAAATGAGGTCAAAGTATTATCAGATATAAAACATCGACATATTGTGAAGCTCTATGGATATTGCTTGCACAGAAGAATCATGTTTTTGATCTATGAGTACATGGAGAAAGGAAGCTTGTTTTCTGTCTTGTATGATGATGTGGAAGCAATGGAATTGGATTGGAAAAAGAGGGTTAACATAGTAAAAGGAACTGCACATGCTCTCTCATATCTTCATCATGACTGCACTCCTCCAGTAGTGCATAGAGACATATCAGCCAGCAATGTGTTGCTTAACTCAGAGTGGGAGCCCAGTGTTGGTGACTTTGGCACAGCCCGATTCCTCAACCTTGATTCATCCAATCATGGTTTTAAATTGCGGTTGCGATCACGGTTGCGGTCGCGGTTGCAGTTACTGCGGTTGCGGGTATTGCGGGTATTGCGATGCGGATTGCGGTTATTGCGGTGTGAAATTATTAATTATTTTCACTAAATATAAAAAATTTATAATTATCAATATATATTTTATTTTTAAGGATTTATACATTTTAATTCTTTTTTTTTTTAAATATTCTATTATTTTAATAAATAATTTAATTTATTTTAAAATTATAGTATCAATTTATCGTATTGCGAATGTATTGCGGTGCATTGCAGATGTGTTGCGGACGCAACACCGTTACGTTGCGGAAAAATGTGTGATTTCCAGTATCATCGCAATTGCGGTCCGATGCCGTTGCGGACAAGGCCGCAACAGCAATATTGCGGCCGCAACAGGTGTTGCGGTCCGCAATTTAAAACCATGCATCCAATAGAACTCTAGTTGCTGGAACCATTGGATATATAGCTCCTGGTATATCATTCTTAACTTACCTTCTTTTTTCTATCTCCTTTTGTTTACATGATTTGATATGCAACTCGACTATAGTTTATATAAATTTTAGAATATTTGTTTAATATATTTAATTTTTTATCATCTAATTTCTTGGTGTTGATCTGGTCAACGCAGAACTTGCCTATACAATGGTTGTGACTGAAAAATGTGATGTTTTTAGTTTCGGAGTAGTGGCACTTGAAACTTTGATGGGGAAACATCCTAAGGAAATACTGTCATCACTCCAATCAACATGTACTCATAGCATCACATTATATGAACTATTAGACCAGCGCCTCCCAGAGCCAAAAGTGGCATTTTCACTGGACATAGTTCGTGTTGCCATTATAGCATTTTCATGCTTGAATCCCAATCCTTGTTCTCGCCCAACAATGAAACAAGTGTCTCAATGTTTTTTGACTCAACCAGCTCCATTACTCATTCCTTTACATGAAATTTCGTTGCGTCAGCTCATTAGACAAGAACTCGAATTATCTAAAATTGTCAACTCCTCATAGTGAAATTAAGTTCAAAATGAAGTTTGCGCAAGCTATTAGCCTTTGATTTATATTACACTTTTTTTAAGTGTATTTGCATGATTAGTTAGATATGTTGGGAAGTGGCATCATAATTTCGCCTCATTTATGATCTCAAAATAGGCACTGAAATTGCGACTATGACTGTGATTGCAATGTCAAGAATCGTAATGAAATTGTGAATGTGATTGCAACTTAGAACCTTGTGGTTTGCTTTTTAAATTTGATGAATTATGGGTCTATCTTGCTTGGAATGGGAATCGGGGTTTTCTTTTTTAGAAGGAAGGTTTTGGTTTGGACTTGTGATCAATTAATTAATTGAAGCTTAAGGAATTGAATTATTTCTGTGTTTATTTTAGTATGTGTAGGGAGTAAAGTTTAACTTGGTGCTTAGGTGATTACCATGCAATTGGATGCACTTATTTTGTTTGATAAGAGACCATAGGATAGAGCATGACTCGGCATGAAAATATACTATATCTGATCTCTTGGGGCAAAACTTCTAATGGATAATTTGGAAAGTGTGATTGATTGCCATATGGGTGATTGTTTCTACGAAATGGAGATAACAATGAACGACAGCTATGCTCTGTATAGAATAACATGTTTTGATCTGATTTTGGCAAGGAAAATATTGAAGCCACGTATGAATATGATTGTCTAATAGGATGATGTATTGCACTAGTGACGGTACTAGCAGGCTGCGAGTTTTGCTGCCATAAAAATTCATTCTATCTATCACTTTATAATATAAAAGTCGAGGTATAATATATTACGTTGAGACCTCATTTTAAAATTTATCTAAAATATTGACATATGTGTTATTTTATAATATTTTTTTATATTTTAATATATTTTTATAATTATAAATCTTGAATATTTAAATTAACTTTTTCCATGTTATTTTTCTTTCCATGTAAATCAAACAAATTAATATATAGTTCTTTTAAAGTTGTTATTCTATCAATTGTTCATGTGTCATTCCTTGCTACCTATCCACTCCTTTTATGTCTATCTTCCAAATCCTCCAAATTTTCACCAACCACAACTTATATCAAAGTCAAAATTGCAACGACTACTCCTTCATTGCTTATCGAGGCAACGACTACTCCTCTTCGCATTCACTTTCTCTCACAATCTCCTCATCTCTTAAATCCTCCAAACATCACTAGTCATGTCTTCTTCATTTAAGTGAAAGTTAGGACGATCAGTCATTATAGTCAATTTCACATATTACAATACTAATTTTGTCATACTAGCTTAATCACTTGTGTCAATTTCAATATAATTTTGTCTTCTATTTATAATTTTCAATGTCACAAACATAAAGATAATTAAGAAATTGAGAGACAACTTACTAGTATTTGATAATCTATTTTTTTTTCTTTTTTATATTCTTTCTACTTTCTTTTCATTATTTTTAGTTTATTTTTCACACATAATCTAATATTTGATAATCAAATAAAGTCAAATAAAAATCAAATTGCAATTTTCAATGCCACAAGCATAGGAAGAACCAAGAAATTGAGTTGATGTAAAGTACAAAGTAATATATTTTTTAAAATATTTTCTTTTACTTTCTTTTCACTGTTTTTAGTGTATTTTTCACAAATAATTTGAAATTTAATAACCAATTAAAGTCAATGTTAGGTGAAAATCAATGCATTTCTAAATTTTTTATAAAACTTATTTCTTCACATCCTTCCTCAAAATATATATGTATGTTCCACAATCATGTTTCACAATCTCTTACATACATATTCATTGTTTACATAATTATCCATAATAAGTATTAAAGAGACTTATAATAACATTTATACCTCATTTTTCATATTTCTCTCTCACTTCTCTTGCAAGCTTCTATTGAATTCTCTCCCCCTCTCTCGAATTTCTCTCTTCTCTCTTTATGTTCAATAAATTAGCTTCTGCATATTTAAGTAGATGGAAGGCGAATCCGTTTATTAATTTGAAGTTTAAAATTTGCGGTAAAATTAGAGTTCGATTTAATTTTTCTGCGCAAATTCTTCATTTCTTTCTCTTCTTTTTTCTAGATCAAAAATTTGTTGTTTGTGATTATTAATAGCATTTTTTTTATCTAAATCTAATTATCAATTTGAGTTGCAGTTTTCGATTTAAAATTGTGTAAATTAACTGTTGATCGTTTTTGAATTCCATGAAAATTGAAGATTGTAATTTTTGTTTTTGTAAAATTTTGTAGATCCATATGTAGATTGGTATTCAATTACATTCGTGTTGATATAATGATTCTCGAATTCAAATTTTGTGATGCATCGTGATAATTGACCGCAAAGGTTGATACTTTTTTAATTGAATTCTCTTAATTATGCTATTTAGTTCTTGTTAATTTTGTAATTACGTTTAAATCCTTCTTCAATCCCTTCTCTAATATTGTGTGATAATTTCTTATCTAATGGATTTGTATTTTAAGAAAAACCTAAATTAGTTCCTATATGGAAAATTTAAGACCAATCTAATTATTATTTTTTATTAATTCGGTATCAAAACTGAGTCAACTTTGAAAAATTGAATGCAACACTATTTTGTGTTGACACGTTCTATGATGGGAATTCTTAGAAATTGTTGTCAGATAAGTCCTGTGAGGACAACATTATTTGTAATTTTGGGACTATCTTTATGAAAGGACTAGAAGAAGAACCATGAAAAGTTGATGAATAACTACCTGTACATCATCTCTTAAACACTATAATGTACATAAACTGCACACTATTATCGGCATCTAAAATATTAAAATGACCCCAATTGTGTTGAATATTGTTTAGATAATTTGAAATACATTTTTTCTTATACCTTTTTATTTAAATTAATTACAATAATAATAATAATTATTATTATTATTATTATTTAAAAGGGGTTAAAGACAAAATAAATTATTATCCGTAGGAGTAATTATTATCATAGATGAGTGTCCATTCATATATATATATATATATATATATATATATACAGGGAACATATCAAGTGAGAGAAAATTTATTATGAGAGATGAGAGGGTTAAAATATAATATTTAGATTAATTATCTCTCACTTGATTAAACTCCAAATTTTCTCTCACTTGATTATTCTAAGGATTATATTTTAAAATATAATTATCATTACTAGAATTTTTCTTATTACATGCGACTTCTCTTGCAAATTTTTCATAAAACTATCACTACTAAAATTCGCAGGAAACATTGTTCCTACATATTTTTCTGTGAAATTTTATGTGCAGGTAATACCTTCCTGCAAAAAAAAAAAAATTTGCAAGAAAGTTTCCTGCGAATTTTTTCTTGCATAATCTTTTAAATTCTAAGATTGTAGATTATAAGTATAATACTCAACTATACAAATCAACTTGTAAGGTAAGTGTTGCCCCAACTTATATACTCTTTAATTGTTTTATTTTCAATCGATGTGGGACTTAAAGTTTTTTTTAAATATTAAACTTATAAATTTAAATATATTTTTTTATTTTTCCTGCGGATTAAAATTTGCAGGTAAATCCGCAAGAAAAGTTACCTGCAAAATTTTTCTATCATTTAGTAAACATTACTTGCGAATTTATTTTTGTAAGAAAATCTGCAAGAAACAAAATAAAATTCTTACAATATTTTCTGTAAATTTTTACCATGAAAAAAAATTTCTATGATCATTCAAATTGTAACAAAATTTACAAAAATTTCTTGTAAATTATTTTTCATAAAAAAATTTGTAAGAAATATCTGTAAATCATTTTTTGCAAATAAATTCGTAAAAAAATATGCAAAAAAATTCTGCGAAATATTTTTTATATGAAAATTCGCAGGAAAAATGACACTTTTCTAGAAGTGTATCAATTATCTTTAAGAATTAAAATAAACTGGACACCCCAAATAGTCGTCCATCAATTTTATGAGCTAACTAATCCAATTCACTTTCTTTTATCTATTTTTTTTTTCTAGCTTGAATGTATAAATTAGTTCAATTATATCACCTCATGTACAGGTACAATTTAAACTTCTAAGTGACCTTTTTCATAGTATAATTTACTTTAAAATTACTTCTATATAGCAAGTTCAAAAGCAAAAAAAAAAAAAGTGACTACTTATATTTTAAAAGATATAAATTAAATAATAATTTCACTTAATTATCTTTTGAACTTAATAAATGCATTTAATGAATAAAGATATTTTTGTAAACAATAAATTAATGCTTGAGACATAATAGGTTGGTCACAAAAAAATGATCGAACTTATTTGAAAATTTGAGTTCTAATGTTGTATAATAAAGATCAGATGCAGCATAATTTTTTTACTTTTTTTTAATAATTTTTAGTTTTTATATAAGCATATATATATTAGTATATATGTATATATAAATATTTAAAAATGTGTATTAACTTAATTATGAATGTTGATATACATTAAAATAAATTTATATTGGCATATATCATATATTATAATTTATATAAATATTTATTTTAGAACTATTATTTTTGTAAATATATTTGTATTTATATATAACTTAGATATATACATATAATACATAAAATTAACTATATAATGAACCATAACGGATATGATTGTATATATCTTCTAGACGTAATTCTACCACGCACCAGGTAGGTATGATCTACAATTCAAAAATCAAAATATATACCTGAAACTGAAATGGAATGATAAGAACTTGTGAATGAGAATAATAGATGTAATTGACCCCTTAAAGAACAACACAATAATATAGCTGAATAGATGTTCCAACCACAAATTGAACTACAGGAGATGATTGCTATCAAATTAGCTGAAAAGATACAGTGGACAAAATGACAACAATGTGGCAGAATAGATGTTTTAACCAGCAGAAAGTGTAACAATCTCAATCAGTGTTATATAATTTCCCACTCAAAGCATGAATCCATTTTCCTTCACATCTTCCACAGTACTGTGCCCGTTATTTTTTTCCTCCTGCTCAGTAGGTTCCTCCTTGTCCTTTTCTTCATCCATCCCTGCTTCTAATTCTTCTGCCACCTTTTTCTCAAGAGCCTGAATCAAACTCAGCAAGCAAGTCTCCACATCTTCATTCACACACTTAGGCA